GAAGCTCTGGAGTTTAATTAGGTCCCTTTTGTCTGTTTTGGCTTTTGTTGCCAATGCTTTTGGTGTCTTAGTTATGAAGTCCTTGCCTATGCCTATGTCCTGAATGGTTTTGCATAGGTTTTCTTCTAGGGTTTTTATGGTGTTATGTCTTTTGTTTAAGTCTTTAATCCATCTGGAGTTAATTTTAGTGTAAGGTGTCAAGAAGGGGTTTCTGTACATGGCTGAAACCATGTACATGGCTGGCCAGTGTCTGTAAATGGCTGGCCAGTTTTCCCAACACCATTTATTAAACAGGGAATCCTTTCCCCATTGCTTGTTTTTGTCAGGTTTGTCAAAGATCAGATGGTTGTAGATGTGTGGCATTGCCTCCGAGGCCTCGGTTCTGTTCCATTGGTCTATATCTCTATTTTGGTACCAGTACCATGCTATTTTGTTTATGGTAGCCTTGTAGTATAGTTTGAAGTCAGGTAGTGCAATGCCTCTAGCTTTGTTCTTTTTGCTTAGAACTGACTTGGCTCTGCGGGCTCTCTTTTGGTTCCATATGAAGTTTAAGGTGGTTTTTTCCAGCTCTCTGAAGAAGGTCATTGGTAGCTTGATGAGGATAGCGTTGAATCTGTAAATTACTTTGGGCAGTATGGCCATTTTTATGATATTGATTCTTCCTATCCATGAGCATGGAATGTTTCTCCATCTGTTTGTGTCCTCTCTTATTTCGTTGAGCAGTGGTTTGTAGTTCTCTTTGAAGAGGTCCTTTACATTCTTTGTTAGTTGTATTCCTAGGTGTTTTATTTTCTTTGTAACAGTTGTGAATGGCAGTTTGTTCTTGATTAGGCTCTCTTTAAGTATGATACTGGTGTATAGGAATGCTTGTGATTTTTGCACGTTGATTTTGTATCCTGAGACTTTGCTGAAGTTGCTTCTCAGTTTCAGGAGATTTTGGGCTTAGACAATGGGGTCTTCTATACAATCATGTCATCTGCAAATAGAGACAATTTGATGTCCTCTTTTCCTAATTGAATAACTTTATTTCTTTTTCTTGCCTGATTGCCCTGACTAGAACTTTCTTGCCTGATTGCCCCTGAATAGGAATGGTGAGAGAGGGCTTCCTTGTCTTGCGCCAGTTTTCAAAGGGAATGATTCCAGTTTTTGCCCATTCAGTATGATACTGGCTGTGGGTTTGTCGTAAATAGCTTTTATTATTTTGAGATACATTCCATCAATACCTAGATTATTGAGAATTTTTAGCATAAAGAGCTGTTGAATTTTGTCGAAGGCCTTCTCTGAATGTATTGAGAAAATTATGTGGTTTTTGTCTTTGGTTCTGTTTATGTGGTGAATTACGTTTATAGACTTGTGTATGTTGAACCACCCTTGCATTCCCAGGATGAAGCCTACTTGATTGCGATGGATAAGCTTTTTGGTGGGCTGTTGCAATGGTTTTGCCAGTATTTTATTGAAAATTCTTGCATCTATGTTCATCATGGATATTGACCTGACGTTTTCTTTTCTTATTGAGCCCTGTATTATTTTTTATTGTCTACTTGATTATTCATTCAGTATGCTTATAGTTATTAATAAAATAAAAATACCTCATCTATTATATAAAGGGATTAGTACACTTTTCTGTGCAAGTTCCTCATGTATAAAGTATGTCTAATAAAACTACCTGTCTTAAGGTTGTTGAGAAGATTAAATTAAATGATTTAAGTCAAAGAAAGCACTCAAAAAATGTCAGGTATGGTTAGGTATCCCAAGAGTATATTTTGCCATAAGTCTGTTGTAATTCATTGTTTATATTTTCATACCATTAAACAATGTTTACCTTTAACTTGTACAATTAAATTTGTAAATAGCATGAATGAATATTAAAGACTGAATTGTTACCATGGATTTTGAGTGATGTGTTCATAGTCATATTGAATATTAGTTTTAATTTCAGGCTTGAAAACATACTTTTAAATAGGAGCAAGAAAAAAAAGCAATGATCTCATTTTTAAAATGACATCAGTGTGTTAGTGAGTGTGTGAACAGAACATTCTCTGTTCCTCACCATTTTTGGAGTCTCGCATAAGTATCATCTGCTGCTGAGTTAACAGTTAATTGACACCATATCTTGCTTGGTCAATCTGCAGTTAAAGTTATAAAGCAGGAAAATAAGATGTAAACCTAACCCAGATCTCCACATGGCCTGGAATTACCTATGGTTTATTATATAGCACAAAATTATGAATAAATATGTAAATACTTACTACATTCGACTTTTTCAAGAATCATTGAATATATAGAATCTTCTTAATGGGGAAAGGGACCCTATTGGAATTCTTTTTCTTTAAAAATTATAACCACTGAAAACTGGATAGACCACCTCACACTAAAGAGTCCTCCCCATCAGAGAAGCGTTTAGTGTTGAAGTAACCCATCCTTTAGGAGTATGACCATTTCTACATCTGGCAGGAAGTTGAACGATACAACTTCTTGATTTTTTTTTTCCCAATTCTAACATTTCACAAAATTAAAGAAATTGAGAACCTATTCTAGGTATTGTTTTTGTTTTTACATTGACACTTTCTTTATTTTCTCTTTGACATGAGTTATTAAAGCATAAAGTTTTGAATCATAGGCAGTTTTCTGACATGATTCAGGAGGAATAATTTCAGCTATTTATATGTCTATAAAGTACTTTTAATATTTATCCACCAGATTATTTGACAGTAAGGTTGTTGTAATTTATCCTTCCAAAAAGTAGAATAAGTATCAAAAACCAGATGGAATTGGATGATTTTGTGAAATAACCACACAATATAAATTGTATTTGGAAAACAAATTTGGCATTGGTTATCTTGATACTGAGAAAGACAAGAAGCTTTTTATCTGAGGAACATGAGCTCTTTTAAATTGTCAGGCCCAGTGGGGCATTGAAATGTGAAAGTAGTCATGTCTCACTCCCTTTCTTGAGCTAAGTAATCTGCCTGCTGTATGGACTTTATACCAAGTAGCCATAAATTAACCTAACGATGCCAGGTGCTGGGTACCATAACTCATACCCTATAGTTCAACAATGTGGAGCCAATTACTAATCACTTATTTCTGTACACCAGTGAGAATTCCTGACAAACAGTTTTTATAATTGCCCCCTCTCCTAATTTGTCCTGTTTTCTTTAAAAAACATGAGCCTCTCCTTTCTTCTCTGGAGCACTTCTCAGCATTTCCCAGCCTGCAGTCCTCAAGCTTAACCCAGATAAAGTCACTATATTAATTTTTCTCACTTTACTTCTTTAGGTAAACAATACTTCACATTACTTCTTGTGGCAACCTTTCTCCTACCCAGCTTGTGTCAAAGTAAAAAATGTTGGTATACTAATGTAATGAAAAAAAAAAAAACATCAAAATCTGAAACACCGAGGGAGAACAGAACGGAGTCCTTATCTCTGAAATGTCTCATTACACTGCTTCTCTTTATTTTTAAGCCCATCTCTGCCAGTGCTGTCTTAGGAGCCAGGGGGGCAATGTTTCTTCTTTACTTTTTTTTTTTTTTTTAGGTCTTTTGTTTCTTTAAGGTTTTTGATAGTTTTTCTAATTTTCTTTTTGTGCTGATTTGAACCATAAAGAACTAATTTAACTTGCTTCTGAAATTGATTTGATGCAACTCATTTTCATTGTTAGCACCCAAAAAGAGTTACCTCTTCACTTAGTACCTTGAACCCTGCAAGACTCCGGAGCCCTCAAAGTATCAAATTTAGTCTCAATTTAAATATGAGGCTGCTAATACTTCCTGTATAGGAAACTTTCAGTACATGTTAGTTCCCTTTCTCTTCCTGCTCTTCAGCATTGTTGGTGATGTATTTGCTGGGCTGTTCCTTTCCTTTTAACCCCCAGTGGTATGCCGGATTTGTTGTGGGAATAGGGAAGGGACAGACAAGGGAAATACCATTGTCTCCAGACCTACACTTACTCGCTTTGTATTAAGGCTCCCAGGGGTCTTTACCTCCTCGAGTCTCTCCCAACTTAATTTCTTGAGCTCAGGTCACTTGAGGGATGTTGTCAGGACATTCAGCAATCTACGAAAAGACTCAAGTCCCAATTTCCATTACACCCTGCCCAACATGTGTCCCAGTTGTTTTGTTTCTTTTCTGTATGACTTCACCAAGAAGTTGTCCTGGTTGATGCTAAATGAGAGGTGAGGCAGAGACTAAGGGAATTCCTCTGGCTTTCTCTTCATTCATATTTCACAGGTAGCGGTTCTTCCAAAGGCCTTGGTGGCCAGAATGAGGTGTGGCCTTGGTCTGCTGCTGAACTGGTAGAGGATTGACACTTTACTATGACTAGCAGCTCTAGAGAAAAACAGAACACCTGATTCCAGTAGTGGTTAAGACTTGGTGTGTCTCTTGATCCCACTTGAAGTTACTGTCTTACAAAGTAACATTTTTTTCTGGCAGTACTAGGGCTGGTGGGGATAGAAGGAAGAACACTACGACCTTTGGAACTTCTCCCTGTGCCTCTGTTTTTTCTCTTATCAGTAAAATGAGAATGTTGGTATATTCCTAGGGTCCCTTTTAGTTCAAACATATCACATTTCTAAATTTTAAACCATCTAGTAGTGTTATCTCTGTCTGATGTGCATGATATGTATATTGGAAATTATCCCAGTATGTAAGCCTGATGATACATATGGGGAAACTTACAGCCCTACCGGCAGAGCTGGATATGTTCATTTATGAGTGCTGGTTGGCATTGTAATTAGAAAACTTTGTACCAACATTATAACTTAATGCAAGATTTGTGAATGTTATTGAAAGCATGACTATATCCTGAAGGTGAAGCCAGTTAACTAAACCTGAGTTAACATGTATCGCCAAAGAGTGAAGATCATAGACATTGTGGTAAATGACTTGAAATGATCCTTTGCTTCACTTTGTCAAAAGGATCAAATTGTATTGAAATAGCACTCCCTGTGATATAATTCTGAATTCTATCTAAATTGGCCCTTCCTTCTTTTGCAGGAGCTATTGTGACAATCTTGGTTACCATCCATTAAGTGCTGCTGATTTTGGAAAGATCATGAAAAACGTCTTTCCAAATATGAAGGCACGTCGTTTGGGCACAAGAGGCAAATCTAAATATCCTTTACCAGAATGGTTTTAGTAACATCTCTATGTTCTCACTTGTTATAAGAACATCTGTTGTAGTTAAACTGGCAACTTTATTTAGAAATAAATTAACAAATAAAAGTAACCCAAAAGCATTTAGTAGAAATGCAAATGTAACTTTCACAGGTGTTTATCACACTGTGAGAGAAATAGCAAATAATGGTTTATTCATATATAAAGATTATGATTGATTTACCTTACTCTATCAATGTAAAGTGTTACTAATGGTCTGATCTCCTTTGTTTTAACAGTAGGAAGTTTTGAGGCCTGCCATATGTTCAGCAATTATATGAATAAAAGTTGAGAAAGATGCTAGCTTATCTTCTTTTCTTCTTTCAGTTTAGAAACATATGGGATCTCCTTAGCAAAAAAAGAATCAAAAAATTTTTTCATGGAACTGTAACGGAAACACTAATCTTTCAGTACAAATATTTTTTAGCCATCCATTTAAAGTCTGTATTAAAATTACAGCCAGACTATAGAAAAGGTCCTTCTTGTGATGGCGGAATACTTAGGAGCAAACAGAAGTAAACAAATTAAAATTAAGAATTCATTATAGTTCTTTCTCCTGTTAGAATAAGATTGTAAAATAGAGGGTCTCTGTATCATATTAGATTACATTCATTTTCTCCTTCCATAGCTCTTGTTTTTTTTCAGAGCATAAAATTAACCACCATGGAGGAGATGAGAAGAAGGCAAAGGGAAGAAACTTACTTTTCTAAAATGGTTCCAGGTGTTCTCTAACCACTTGTTGCATGACCTATTCTTGCTTCCCAAACGCAAACAAAAATGTTTTGATGTATCTTTGGCATGTTATAGGCGATAATCCTGTATGTTTCAGTGGAAAAAGAGAAACGAAAAGGTTAAAGCCCTTGTGACACTCTTTAAGAGTTGTTTTTGTCCCAGTGCCCTGGGCTAAAGTTTCCCTTCCTTGTGCCAGGTTTCCATCTGGCTATTCCTTTCCTTCTGACCTGTTTGTTACTGGTGGCTGGCACAGCATATTAGGAACATTTATTCATAAAATTTATAACAGATGAGAATGCTTTCTTTTAAGACAGTAATATTCAACATTCTAAAAGGATATTTCAGTTTCAAAAGAGTACAAGTGTCGCAAGTTTTTATTGAGGTTATTCTTACTGAAGAATTCAGAAAGTAGATGTTATCTCATGTTGATTTTATTCTCATTTCATATATGGTTAATTCTAAAGTGCTATCTGTATAAGAAATTCATTTGATTTCAAATATTTAGACCTTAACTGTTTGTTACATATTGCTACAGTGGACTAAGAAAAAAAGCTTTTGTTCATATGCCAACACTGCCCAACCTTGACTTTCACAAAACTGGAGACGGAGTAAGAATTCAGCCTTTTCTTTTTAATAAGTAAAACTGTACCTTTATATCAACATTGAAATGTACCCTGCAAAGTCTCATTTGGTTAAGACCAGGGACTGTGCCTTTTACAATTTAAATAAGCAATACACACACACACACACACACACATATATATGTATATGTATATATATGTGTATGTATATATGTGTGTGTGTGTGTGTGTGTATATATATATATGTCTATATCCCACAGTGGCTGAAATGTCAACATGAAATTTGGGGCAACAAAGTTTTGAAGTTACTGATTTCTTGTATTTCCTTATTTTGGACTGTGTGTGTGTGTGTGTGTGTGTGTGTGTGTGTGTGTGTATTGTAGGAAAGAGGAAAAAGTCAGTGTAATAAGTCATAGTGTAATATGTTTTATAGAAATTTTTTAGAAAAAACATATGGCTATTGGCATAGTTTTATTTATGTTAGGAAGATTCGAAATATCTATCAGTCTTCATATATGTTCAAAAACCATTTAAAATGTTATATTCGCAGGGCTGCTGACTGCTGTGCCCTAGTGGGTATGAGTCTCTTATTTGCAAAGCTCTTATATGTCTACCAGTGGGTCAGTTCATAGTGCTTTAACCCATATACAATCTTCAACGTGCTTCAATTTAATTTCTCTGGTATTTTACAAGTTAACTTTTTCTTTTTTCTATGCCTAGTTGGAAGGAGCTGAACCTTCTGGGCAGCTTCAAAATATAGATGAAGAAGTTATCTCTTCTGCTTGCCGTCTTGTGTGTGAGTGGGCCCAGAAAGTGTTAAGCCAACCATTTGACAACATCTTGGAATTAGCCCGCTTCCTTGTAAAAAGTCACTATATAGGCACCAAGTCAATGGCAGCTCTAACTGTAATGGCAGCAGCACCAGCAGGTATGACATTACTGTAAACAAGCTAACAACAGACAGAGGTATTGGTATATTTAGAACTGGTAGCAGAAGAGTTAGATCAAAGAACTTCATCTTTTAGTACTTCTATGAGTTCATTCTTAGTCCACTTAACACTAAAGTCAGGCGGGTTTGTTGAGCCAACAAAATAATAATCCTTTCATTATAACATAGCTTAATACTATGTTTCTGTATATTGCTTTGCTGGCATATAAAACTGTAGATTCCCCAGCTGATATGTTATTAATATTTCTATTTTTACATTTATAGGATGTGTTTATATGTACTTTTATTTGTACATATATGTATATGTATATCTAAGTTAATAAAATAGAAGTAAAATAAGATTCAATTTTAAAATTACTTGTTCAGTTCCTATTCCAGAAACTAATACTTTTAAATAAAATTTTTTTTAGACACTTTGACAGGTAATTTGGTCTCAAAAAAAAAAAAAAAAAAAACCGTAACAAGCCTTACTGTAAAATAACAAGAGTGATATTTTTTAATATGCATTCATATGACTATTTTTATTCAAAGAGGAATTTTTAGAATCAATAGTTTTGGGAACTGACAGTCTTGTTAGAATGATTTCTTCCCAAACTAATAGTTATATAAAATATCAGTTCTGATTAATTTTTTAAAATATCTTATTTCAGTTATACCTTACAAATGTAAAATAAAGTGAATAAATTATCATTCTAGAAAATTGTGATTTCTATTAAAAATAGAGTGATACAGTGATCTGAGACTTATTTTTCCAAGGACAGTCCTTCTAAGTGTTAAATCTAAATATTTTTAAACCTACAGTAGATTTATCCTGGCCAGAACTGTAGTCTCTTAATTAACTTCACTTCTTTTCTTTTTTTAATGTTTTTTACACATTAATAATGACTCCATTTTCTTCTAGTTTACATTTAGTATGTGGTGGGGGGTGTGTATAACCTCTCATTTTGTGATCAGTTGAAGATTCATTTCAGAAAAAAATGTGTCATATAGTTTTTCCTGTCTACATGTAAACTGTATGACCTAAATCTGCTTATTCATTATACTGACAAGCAGGAGAATGCTTGACCAGACTTATCGAGCTAAACAGTTCATATATGTTACCTCATTTAATTCCCCCAGCAGTCCTGCGAGATAGGTGATATTTATTCCCAATTTATAGACTTGGGGAGGTCAATAAACTAATCGATGGGCATATAAGTAGTGGAGCCAGGATTTTAATCCTAAGTTGTCTGTCTCCAACGCCCAGGTTCACTCAATTATATCATAATGTCATATGGTAGAATGAGCTTGAAAAGGAGTGAACTCCAGTTTGCTTTGTTCTCTCCTACCCCAGCCAACACCTAGAAGAGCACTTGAACAGATGGAGGATTTAGGAGGTATCATGGGGAACAGAAACATCTCTTCCCTATTTCTCACAATATTCACAAAGTCTAACTGAGGAAAATGTTGAATGAATTGAATGAATTAATTTTTAAGGTATAAGTGTAAATAACCGTGTAACTTTTTTAACAAAAGTACTAAAAGTTACATATATAAAGAACAGTTTTCTTTTCCCTTTTTGAAAGCAATCAGCCTGAGAGGATAAACACTTTACCAACTGTATCATTACTCAAAACATTTTTAGAATGTCTCTTAAAATTTTAATCTCAGCCCTTACTACATTTTTCAAAAGGACCTCTGATAATAGACTAATTTCCATCCTTTGAAGGTGAATTTGGTTTTTTATAGTCTCCATATTAAGAACAGGTTGTGTTACAAATGTCCTTTTGTAAGTCAGCTGCTTGGAATTCATTCCTGTCTAAAAACCCTGGCAGGAAGGATAAGACAGCCAAGCTGTGAGCCATTGGCAGAGGTTCTCTGGGGTGCAGGTGCTGAGAAGCCAGAGCTGAGGCTGGGGCCTGGAAGGGGCAAAACAATTGCAGTTGGATTTGAGAGGAAAAATTGTGATTTTTTTTACAAGGGGTTAGGGGTTCAACAGATCCTCATCATTATTGAGTGTGGGGAGAGAGTTATAGCCTCTTAATTCTCTATTTCCTGCTCCCCACATCAAGTTGTTGTTGTTAACCAGAATGATGAAAAGCAGAAACTGGGATAGGGAAAAGAAAAGAAGGGGCAAGGTGTACCAGCGGGATAGTTGTTCCTCCCCTTTCTTCTTACTATAAAATAACAAGAGTAGTCATTGTTTTTTCTACCCACAACGTACTTTCTAATGATCTCAGTGCCACACCCTAAATCTGAAAAGAGCTTTCTAAAAGTTTTATATAATTTTTCTTAAAATTTATAATTTCCTTTTTTCACTGTTTTATCTTTCTAGTGTTTTAAAGGTTTGCTCAGTGACACTTTCTGGGAATATCTTAACCTTAGTCTTAAGAAATTCTGCTTCTTAATTTCTTCTAGGTCACACTGGAATAATTGTATAGTAGCAATAAAATAATAGTGCCTATTTCCATGAATTTCTGGTAGGATTAAAACTTGTTCTCTCCGTGGAATTTTTTTCCAAGATGTGGAGTGGCTTCAGCAAATATTTACTGAATTATTGAATGCCCCTCGTGGGCTAAATATTAAAATCATGATAATGCATGAACTTCTTTCTGATTAGAAATGAGGGGAGGGAAATTTACTGACCTTTGAGAAAAAGTAAAAATGCTGTGTTGGCGTTTATCTTAGCTTCTTCACATTTATGACATAGCTACTGTTTTTTAAATCCTGTTGTTGTTGATTTAACTGAAACTGTCACCTTAGTTGAACCATACTGTAAAATGACAAAGCTATATTGACAATTGTTTATAAATTCAAAGTCTAATGCTTAATGCTTTATAAAGAAATTGAGTTAAAATTTGCTGTTTTGGTTGCTTTGTCCAGTAGATGGCTACATTTTCAAAGAAATTCAAAGGAACCTACATTCTATAAAGGAGAGTATTTATTTTAGCTTTCCTTTCTGTTTATTTTCAGGAATTAAAGGAATTACCCAGCCTTCTGCTTTTATACCTACAGCTGAAAGTAATTCCTTTCAGCCTCAGGTGAAGACTTTGCCGTCTCCAATTGATGCTAAACAGCAGTTGCAACGGAAAATCCAAAAGAAGCAGCAAGAGCAAAAACTACAATCCCCTTTGCCAGGAGAATCCTCAGCAAAAAAATCAGAAAGTGCTACAAGCAATGGAGTAACTAATATTCCTAATGGAAATCCTTCAATCCTTTCTCCTCAACCTATTGGTATCGTTGTGGCAGCTGTCCCTAGTCCCATTCCGGTAATATAATTAAATAGTATTTGGCCTTATTGGGATGGTGGGAAATCAATTGTTTACTTAAAAGTGGCAGATGAGGGACTCCATGTTTGGATCACCTTCCATGAACACTCCCTTCGTGGAAGCTGTTTTTCTCTCTGCTGTATTTCCCCTCTGGGGTCCCCTTCCACACACTCTCGTGGAAGCCTGTCTTCTCCTCCTAAACTCCATCTCTCTCTATTCCCTTCCACTCTGTGGAAGCTGCTTTCCTCTCCTGGATTCCATCTTTCTGGATTCTCTCACTCAGTGTGAGAGTTAGCTATTTCTCTCTCCTTCTCCAGTTTCTCTCCCTAAACAAATGACTTTCTACAAACAATTTTAAAAAAAGTGGCAGATGAAAAGAAGGCAAGTATAGGTTTAGCCACAGACTGGTTTTGTGACCACAGGCAGATTCCCCTTCAGTTGGTTGTCTCTTATTCAGGATATGCTGTTGATTACGAAGTGAGCTGTGAATTATTGAAAATATTAAGATCCAAGACATGCAAAGTATGCACATAACCACTCAGACCTTTATGTAAGAGTGAGTCATTTTCTCATTTTCAGAGTTGTTTCATCCCTGGCCAGGCCACGATAATTTTTTTTTTTTTTTAGACAAAGCCTGCTCTGTCACCCAGGCTGGAGTGCGGTATTGCAGTCTCGGCTCACTGCAGCCTCTACCTCCTGGGTTCAAACCATTCTTCTGCCTTAGCCTCCCAAGTAACTGGGATTGTAGGTACTTGCCATCACACCTAGCTAATTTTTGTATTTTGTATTTTTAGTTGGCCAGGCTGGTCCTGAACTCATGACCTCAAGTGATCCACCCACCTTGGCCTTCCAAAGTGCTGGGATTACAAGGGTGAGCTACCGCATCCAGCCAAGCCAAGATAATTTAATTGCAAACTTTTTTTTTTATTTAAAGGCTTTTCTTTTTAACATTCAGATGGTGCAAAATTATAATATATACTGATAACATTTAAATGTAGGCCTATCTGTGGCTTGCCAGATACAGAACTAGAACCTTGGCCAAGTTCTTTAGCTAGCTAGTTTGTTTCCTTATCTACAAATAGAGGTTCATAGTCTTCTTCTTTCCTATCTCACACAACTGAGGTTATGATGAAGGGACTTTTAAAATGAGAGTACATCATGCCATAGTAAGTTGGTACTTTATGTTATTATTGATAATAATAGTTAAGAGATATTTTATCTTGTTTTTCTTTTTCCTATTATCGTCATCATCACATCATTAAAACATGAAATACCTGGTAACCGCACTATTCATTATAGGCAAACTGGGATACATACTACTTTTATCTTATATGCAGTGGTTTAGTTACAGACGTTTAAGGTAGACACATTTTAAGACAGTTTCCCCTCAGTGAGCCATCTTTGCATAGATTCTGGTAGGCAACCTTTACAGTTATATGTTTTTTAAGATTTTATGTCTTCCTCCTATAACCCCCTTAAATCATTGTTTCAGCAAATATTCATCACACCTGTGAAGCTTTTCATCTTGTTAGCTGAAAAATGACTTAATGTTCTTTTTTTTTGGACAGGGTCTTGCTCTGTCACTCAGGCCAGAGTGCAATGGTGCAATCTTGGCTCACTGCAACCTCCGCCTCCCAGGTTTAAGCAATTCTTCTGAGTAGCTAGGATTACAGGCGCCTGACACCACACCCAGCTAATTTTTGTATTTTTAGTACAGATGGGGTTTTGCCATGTTGGCCAGGATGGTCTTGAACTCCTGACCTCAGGTGATCCAACCACCTCAGCCCCCCAAGTGATAGGATTATAAGTGTGAGCCACCGTGCCCAGTCTCTTCTTACCTATTTTTTATTTACAATGCATTATGGTTGCATTTGTTATATTTGTGTGTCTGGTTGTGTAGAACCTGGTCTAGAAGAGCTCTCTTCTAACATAGGAACTTTTTTCTTTTTAACATTAACATTTAATGAATGCCTTGAAAGTATATACAGATACGTGAATTACTATTTGTAACCTAGACCTGTTAAATCTGACTTTTTGCTATCTTTTTACAGGTCCAGCGGACTAGGCAATTGGTAACTTCACCGAGTCCAATGAGTTCTTCTGATGGCAAAGTTCTTCCTCTCAACGTACAGGTGGTCACTCAGCACATGCAGTCTGTGAAGCAGGCACCAAAGACTCCCCAGAACATTCCAGCCAGTCCTGGTGGAGATCGTTCTGCCCGGCACCGTTACCCTCAGATCTTACCCAAACCAGCCAACACCAGTGCACTCACCATTCGCTCTCCAACTACGGTCCTCTTTACTAGTAGTCCCATCAAAACTGCTGTTGTACCCGCTTCACACATGAGTTCTCTAAATGTGGTGAAAATGACAACAATATCCCTCACACCCAGCAACAGTAACACCCCTCTTAAACATTCTGCCTCAGCCAGCAGTGCTACAGGAACAACAGAAGAATCAAGGAGTATTCCACAGATCAAGAATGGTTCTGTTGTATCACTTCAGTCTCCTGGGTCCAGGACCAGCAGTGCGGGGGGAACATCTGCTGTGGAAGTCAAAGTGGAACCTGAAACATCATCAGATGAACATCCTGTACAGTGCCAAGAGAACTCTGATGGGGCTAAAGCTCCCCAAACACCTAGTGCCCTTTTGGGGCAGAAAAGTAACACAGATGGAGCACTGCAGAAACCTTCAAATGAAGGTGTCATTGAAATAAAAGCAACTAAGGTCTGTGACCAGAGGACCAAATGTAAAAGTCGCTGTAATGAAATTCTGCCAGGCACATCAACAGGCAATAATCAAAGCACTGTCACTCTATCAGTTGCTTCTCAGAACTTAACTTTCACCAGCACCAGCTCACCATCTAATGGTGACTCAATCAATAAAGACCCTAAAATATGCACTAAAAGCCCAAGAAAACGACTGTCTTCTACATTGCAAGAGACCCAGGTGCCTCCTGTAAAGAAACCAATTGTGGAACAGCATTCAGCAGCTACCATAGAAGGGCAGAAACAAGGCAGTGTTAAGAAGGACCAAAAGGTTCCACATTCAGGGAAAACAGAAGGTTCAACAGCAGGTGCTCAGATTCCTAGCAAGGTATCAGTAAATGTCAATTCACACATAGGAGCGAATCAACCCTTGAATTCTCCTGCCCTTGTTATCAATGATTCAGCTTTGGAACAGCCAGCAACTCCATCATCATCTCCAGATATAAAAGTAAAACTTGAAGGAAGTGTCTTTCTCTTGGACAGTGATTCAAAGTCAGTTGGCAGCTTTAATCCAAATGGATGGCAGCAAATCACTAAGGATTCTGAGTTTATATCTGCCAGTTGTGAACAACAGCAAGATATCAGTGTTATGACAATTCCTGAGCACTCTGATATCAATGACTTAGAAAAATCTGTTTGGGAATTAGAAGGAATGCCACAGGACACATATAGCCAGCAGCTACATACCCAGATACAAGAATCTTCTTTGAATCAAATACAAGCACATCCTTCAGATCAGTTACCTCTGCAATCTGAACTGAAGGAGTTTGAGCCTTCTGTTTCCCAGACAAATGAAAGCTACTTTCCTTTTGACGATGAACTTACGCAAGATAGTATTGTGGAAGAGCTGGTGCTTATGGAGCAGCAAATGTCAATGAACAACTCGCATTCCTATGGCAGCTGTTTGGGAATGACCCTTCAGAGTCAGTCAGTAACTCCAGGAGCTCCAATGTCATCTCACACCTCCAGCACCCACTTCTATCATCCAATCCATAGCAATGGCACTCCAATCCACACACCTACACCTACACCCACACCCACACCCACTCCTACCCCAACCCCAACCCCAACATCTGAAATGATTGCTGGATCTCAGAGTCTATCACGGGAGAGCCCTTGTTCCAGGCTAGCCCAGACTACACCTGTGGATAGTGCTTTAGGAAGTAGCCGGCATACACCCATTGGTACTCCACATTCTAACTGCAGCAGTAGTGTCCCTCCCAGCCCTGTTGAATGCAGGAATCCATTTGCATTCACTCCAATAAGCTCCAGTATGGCATATCATGATGCCAGCATTGTGTCAAGTAGTCCTGTGAAACCAATGCAAAGACCCATGGCCACACACCCTGACAAAACTAAGCTTGAATGGATGAATAATGGGTATAGTGGGGTTGGTAATTCATCGGTGTCTGGCCATGGCATACTCCCAAGCTATCAGGAACTAGTGGAAGACCGTTTCAGGAAACCTCATGCTTTTGCTGTGCCTGGACAGTCTTACCAGTCTCAATCCAGACATCATGACACTCATTTTGGTCGTTTGACTCCTGTCTCTCCTGTGCAGCATCAAGGTGCCACTGTAAATAACACCAACAAACAGGAGGGTTTTGCAGTCCCTGCCCCTCTTGATAATAAAGGAACTAATTCATCTGCCAGCAGCAACTTCAGATGCCGGAGTGTGAGCCCTGCTGTTCATCGCCAACGTAATCTTAGTGGAAGCACCCTCTACCCAGTATCTAATATCCCACGATCTAATGTGACCCCCTTTGGAAGTCCAGTAACCCCAGAAGTTCATGTTTTCACAAATGTTCACACAGACACATGTGCCAACAACATAGCTCAAAGAAGCCAATCAGTTCCATTAACAGTCATGATGCAGACAGCCTTCCCAAATGCTCTTCAGAAGCAGGCAAACAGTAAAAAAATAACCAATGTTTTGTTGAGTAAACTTGATTCTGACAATGATGACGCAGTGAGAGGTTTGGGAATGAACAACCTGCCCTCTAATTATACGGCCCGGATGAATCTCACTCAGATTTTGGAACCTTCTACTGTTTTTCCTAGTGCCAACCCACAAAATATGATCGATTCCAGCACTTCTGTTTATGAATTCCAGACACCATCTTACCTCACCAAAAGTAATAGCACCGATCAGATCAATTTTTCTCCTGGAGATAATCAAGCACAATCAGAAATTGGAGAGCAACAGTTAGATTTCAATAGCACTGTTAAAGACCTGTTGAGTGGAGACAGCTTGCAACCCAACCAGCAGCTGGTAGGTCAGGTAGCATCTGATCTCACCAACACTGCATCTGATTTCTCTAGCGATATCAGGTTGTCTTCTGAACTCTCAGGCAGCATCAATGATTTGAACACTTTAGACCCAAATCTACTGTTTGATCCAAGTCGTCAGCAGGGACAAGATGATGAAGCTACACTGGAAGAATTAAAGAATGATCCATTATTTCAACAAATTTGCAATGAATCCATGAATTCTATGACTTCATCAGGTTTTGAATGGATAGAAAGCAAGGACCATCCTACTGTTGAAATGTTGGGTTAAATTGTGTTTTATAATATGTAGCACACTGTATCTAAAGACATATGTATTGTATTTGTCTTAATGGAAGTGCCTCCCGCAGCAGAAATACTATTAATTGTGACATTTTAAAAGCGTTTGCTGCAGAAGTGGTTTCTTCTTCAGTAGGAAATGGTTAGACTTGCCTCAGTTCTTAAAAAGTGTCTAAAGACAGTAGTCTGTAGAAGAACAAGTATTAGGTTTTAAATTTTATAATGTGCCCCATTTAATCACATTGTTTGCTAGTAATCAATTGACTATCCAGCTGTTACAAGAGCAGTCAATCTTTATTTTGTGCAAGTTGGTTTCATCAGTTGATCTGCACAGAACTCAGAATAAACCATCAATTTTAGACATAGGCTATTTTGTTGTTGGCATTATCTTTTAGATACAAAATCATAGCTAAGGTGAACTGTAGACAAGAAGGTCTTCCTTGAAACAGGGATAATATTCAGGTTATTATAAATATTTAGGCTTGAAGCATAGAGCTACTGTAGGATGAAAATATCTGTAGGACTTTCTGGGGCTTCAGTACCGTTTATACACGCATGATGAAGGGCTTAAATAGGAGAAAATAATGGAAAATTAAATATTACTTTAAGGAAAGCAAAGCTGCACTAAAATTTTTAAGAGAAAAAAACAAGTAGCCATTTATATTTGTGACCCTGCATTAATATTATTTGTAAGTGTTGATTTTAATATGGAGCTAGCCCACATGGATGCACAGGCACACACACACTAAACAAGTAAATATAACTCGACATTTGTAATATAAATACAAGCATGTTAGAAAAATGCTTTATGTTTTGTTAGTTGAGGTAGGGGAATGAGCAGGAAAACAAAAGCATTCTCTTTGTTTCATCACAATGGTTGCATGTACTTATTGAGATTCTAATTGAGATTTATTTTGAAGTTTTTCATTAAAATATATCTCAGTAATCAATTTTTTCCTCTTCAGTTGAGTGACTGATTCCTTCACTCCTCTTGAATATAGTAACATAGTTTGATCCTAGGATCCCTTTGAAAAACAAGCAGGAAGAAGGATAACATAAAAAACAGCAAAAAACATTTCACCACATAAGGTCTGAAGCCACATATCTTTGTATCTCTGATGAAACAAAGGGGATATCAATAGTACTTGAAGAAGAGGAGCATTTTATTACTTGCTTTATTTATTTATTGTGATAACCACGATTGCAAATGAAGAACTCAGGATTTGTTTTAAAATGTTTCTCTCAATGGCTCCCTTTTTTTTGTGAATAATTATTTATGAGTTGCATATTGACACAAATCTCACTGGTTGAAAGCTCCATTTAAGTGAGTATCAAGATCACTTTCAAAAAGATTTTTAAATTGCCATTGTTTAAAAAGCTAACACGAAACCATTTGCTATGCTGCCTTGAACCTAGCTAAGCTTTCCTTTATCTTAGTAAGCCAATCAGAAGACTACAATCAATGAATATTTAGCAAATGTGCTGAAGAGTTTAATTTAATATGGTTTTGTTGTTCAATAAATTTGCAAGGTAGGGTATTAACATATTTTGATAAATAAATGGTGCTAGAGTTGGCGCAGAGGTTTATAAATTGATATGTCTTAGTTATTGGCATTTGTGTGTGTTTGCTGTTAATCTTGATTTAATGATTTGTTAGGTACTTTTTTCTTGATGCTAGTTATTTCTTCACTGTACATTGAGACAGAGCACTACTGCACACCAAAGTATGCAATACCCAAAGGAAATTGTGTGATTTCTTCTAACAAATGATGGGAGCCTTTCTCTATGAGATACTCTGAAAAGGAGATTTTGAGGCCATTCTAATCCCTTGTTTACATTATTAGCTTCCTACTAATATAAAAATAATGGAAATCTTTTTTGATAAAAATATAAAGACTGGAGGATTTTTAACCCCCTGTACAGTATTGCAGCAAACCTCTTTAAATTTGGTTGAATTCGTCCAGCAAACTTTCTGGGGTTCCTACATTGCACTAAATTTGTTGAACCTGTGGTAGGCACATCTCTTAGGATAAATGCAACCAATACAGTCCACAGATTAAACTTTTTAAATGTGTTTCATTATGAAAAGACAAAATGTCATCAAAGTGACAGATAAAATTGTCTTATGTAGCAATGTGCATTGATCTCAATGAGATATTTCTTTTATTCTCTTACATGAGAATATTACAGCAGGAAGAATTAAGTTTAGTTTGCTTCACCATGTTAATACATGATCACAAAATGTGCATGAGTGTTATTGACTTACCTTGTACAGTACTAGGATTCCTGTAACCACTCTTTTTTTTCTTCGCTGTATTGAAACTGGTTCACTGTTAACCGGGCAAGCATAGTTATTCACAGGTTATTTACTTTATGTTTACTAATTCTGCTTAGTTATTGTTGAACATGTTCTGTTCCAGATTATTTTTTATTGTTTTGACGTTTAAAACATTTTACATACTGTTTATCATAAGACTTCATGAAGTAAATAATTTTGCATATAATTGCAATAAGCACTGACTTTTGAACTGAAAAGAAGGAAAGTGTTTTTTTGTGCAGTGCATCTGAGGTTCATATAATAGTCTTGTACTATAATGTGCTTTACTACACGATAAATGACAAAAACAAGCCCTGTTTCATGTTTCATTTAGTGCAAAAAGTCGGATTTCCCCAGTGTTTTGTTGTCTGTTGTACCTGCTGAAACTACAGTAGTTGACTATTGCGGTAGCATTTCAGTTCTCTTTTTTTATTAAAAGTGCTTAAAAATTGTTTTTTAAATGTTTTCAAAAACAATTAAAAACATTTTATATTAAACTGACTGGATCTGAAGGTGTTTTATGGGACATATTTTATATAGGCATCACATTTTGTAAACAGACCCAATGTTATTCTTCCTTTGATGTCATGAACTTTGGGAAATGAATAAAAATCAGCAGAAGGCAGAACAGTGCTGCTGATCTGCTTTGTGCTATTAATCCAGAAGAATACACAGATCTTTTTTCATTCGTTGAAACTCTGCTGTTCACTTAACGATTATTACCAATGAATGGTGCATGGCACAGAACTTTATGTTGTCCAAAAAGCCATCTTTTTCTCCTTCACATAATGTTTATTTTTAAATGTTAGCCAGTGGAGTACCTAGGTACATTTATTTCTGGAGCTTCGAATAGAAAAAGGAAATTTTAAAGCACAGCCGTATTCAAAAGCAGTATAGGCATTTCCAGGTATCAGAAATAACAAACTGATAAGTGTAATGAATTTGTAAGCCAGAACCTGGGCTATAGGTCTGGAATGGAAGCAAGCCAAAGTAGCCAGAAATCTCAGCTCCTGTAAGGTAATGAAACCAGGGTCTAGAAAAGAGTTTCCTTACTCTTGAAACTGAGAAGGAAAAATAACCAGTGCCTGGGACTACAATTTATATTGCAGACAGATCTTGAGTCAAACAGCCTACTCCTTTGTAGATCTGCGATAGTGTCACTATCACCACAGATCTGGAGCCCTCGGTTTGAACAGGTTAGAAGCAATTATAATAGTAAAGAAGAGTGGAGATTAGGAAGGGAGAGATAAAGAGCAGGAAGGCTCCCGTGCAAGCTGAGCCTGCAAATCAGAATTCCAACGTACTTGAAGAACGTGAAACTAATCCTAAGAAAGGCAATCACTCGAGAAAATAAAAGTAATGAACTACGTAGATATTACTATAAGTATGTTAGGCTCCTCAATGCTCAATGATATGAAAGGGCAAAATGTAGAAGCAGGTAAACATAAGAACCAGTCCATATTGTCTACCAGTAAGAAATTCTGGAGGTGAAAATACTGTGTCATCTGAGGTGATTTTGGTTGCAACTAATTGAAAACTCAACAGTGGCTTAAACCATAAGGTCATGTGCTTTTAGCTTAATATTGGAGACAGGAGGTTCATGGGTTCATTCAATGGTCCATTGTTTACAGGCACCAGATCCTGTTTTTCTGTGTTTTGGTTTCATCATCTTCACCTTTACTTGGCTGTGTCTATTACCTCAGGGTCACAAGATGGCTGCCACAGCTCAGATATTATACCCTCATAACATCCCAACCAGGATAGTAAGAGCAGTTCTCATGGCCTTTTATCGGAGAGAAGAAAATTTCAGAATCTTCCATTATGCACTCCATACACACACTCTCAATGTATGAAACCACATCAAAGGCTCACCCTAAGGCAATTATGTAGCTTATAGATCCTCAATGCTTTATAGCTAGGAGAGGAGCCCATTTCCTGGAACATGTGGTCATTCGTCTTAAATGAGTTCCATCACCTAGGGAAGATATCAGGGACTTACTGTTAGGGAGGCAACCAGTAGTGGTCACTGTAAAATCTCAATAACTAGATAAAGTGAATAAGATCCTGTATCCACCTTTGAGGGGCTTAAAATCACAAAGAGTTACATATGTGTTCTTTGGCAAGTGCCAAGAATATGTGTAACATGCTATGTAGAAGAAAAGAAGTAAGAATTTGAAATCTGAACTAAGCATAAGTTTAGCGGTGTTAACTGGTGTCTTGCCTTCCCTCCCACTGTGAGCTGAAGAATCATTTGGTTAGCATCATAAATGTAAGTTGCCTCAGCTCCTACAGCATAACAAAAGACCAAACTTTGTATTTTGTTAAATCTGAAGCACAGATTTATTTTGACATGCATTGTTATAAATGAACTTTTTAATAATTTATAAACTTATGGATGGGATCACATCAATATTATATAATCAAAATTTTTAAAATATATATGCCAGTCTTGTTGCTATAATCTGCTAAGAAGAATGAAACAGACTGCATTTTTCAAGATTTGATTTTAAAAAGTACTTGATCTTGGAGAGGAGAAGAAAGTCACATAAATGTATCGTAAGAGTGGTATTACTGTAATATATAGAGTATTTCTTTGCATTAGACCTAGTGTAAAATAGTTTGCATATGTCCTCACATCTTTGTTGTAACAATTTTTAGAGAATATTATGTTTCAGGTGAGCAAATTTTAGTTCAGAGATTAACTGGTGAAGGCAACAGAGATAATAACAGGAAGATCCAGGATTATCTTAATTTCAAACCCCACTTCATAACATGCTATACTTAATATATGTGTTCACATTGTACCTACTGCAGTTGAATGATCTGGTGGCTTCTTTGAATTTTCATTTTGGTTTTAAATTTAGAATTGAGTTTGATTTTTGTGGAGTTCTTTATTTCTTTTTAACCTCTGATCCTGTTATCTCAACAATTCTTTTTCATTTTTGGCGCTTTTAAATTTACCTGTAGTTTGTAACTTTCCTCCAGATTACTTAAATCCTTTTCCCTCCCTTCTCTCCATGGAAATACCCTGATGAATTAGGAGAACTAAGATTTAAATACAAAATGTTGTTTTCCACACATCTTTTCAAGCACATTTCATAGAGGTATATGCTAATCACATTTATGTTTAAATCACTTAAAATTTCATCAGAAAATAAAAATGGGACTTTTTTTTTAACAGATGATAAAGTGCCTAAAATATGTCAGTCTCTGTACAAGGTGCTAAAGGAGACACCTGCCATTTTGAAATTTTGCAATATAATGAACAAGACACAGTGAATGTCTTTGCAGGATGCAATGAGGTTACTATAGCAGAGGCAAATATTTACCACTAGCATGCATTCTCCCCTTCTTCCTTACTGTTAAAGTCCTTGATTTTTAGCTGGGCACATAGCCATCTGACAAAAAGGCTATATCTGCTAACTTCTCTTGCAGTTCAAGTGCTCAACTAAAGAGATGTAACCAGAAGGTTTGGGTGCTACTTCTTTGCAGTGTTTTTGTCCTTCCTCCCTCCCGGCTGGAATGCAAATGTGATGGCTAGAACTCAGGCACCTCTCTCGGACTTCATGGTAAAGCCACGTGCTGAGGTTGATGAAGCAACAAGATACAAGGAGCTCAAGGCCTGATAACTTTGGGAGGGAATCTGCCCAACTAGTCCCGACTGCTTACCTCTCGATGTGTTTTACATGAGAGAAATAAATTTCTTTCTGGTTTAATTCACACTTATTTTGAGTCTTCTGTCACCCAACACAAATCCAAATTCTAGCCAACATAGCTGCTAGAAGGTTTTAAGCAGGAGTGGGGAATGTTAGAGTCACATAATGATTGCTAAAACCATCAATGGACGCCCCACATACCCTAGGAATGGCAATCTGCATCTCTTTTTCATTGGAATTGGTAAATCAGGAGAGGCTCCTAGAAAAATACCCCTTCATAGCTTTGGGGGTTGGGGAAGGCAGAAATAAGAGTAGATGGGTTTAGCTACTGATCACATTGAAAGGCAATATAGCATCCTGGTCAGACCTGGGTTTAAGTCTTACCTCTGCCAATTACAACTATGACCCTGGGAAACTTACTTGAATATTAGTAATGATATCCATCTGCAAGCATTTCTAGTGGTGTGCCACATGGTTCTGGCCTGCTGATTATGTTGCCAATATTTTGAATGAACACACAATAAGTTCGCTGTGGCAAATGTGGATTGGCTTGCTCAATTTCTGTTCCAGCTTCCTCCTTGTTTAAAGGAGCAGGAAAGCAAAAAACTACATTTGCTAGACTTCCTCACAGCCACGTTCCAGATGTAATTACATTTCATCTATAAGATTTGTTCTTGAAAGATCTGAAGGGGAAAAAATGAAGCAAAAGCCATCTTCCTACTTCTTTTTTGGTGACTTTCTTGCAAGCAAGGTCATGAGAGTCTTTTAGCAGCCGTGTTCTAAAGTCTATTCTTGTGATTCTTAAGTTTGAAGGTCCATGTTCCAGTGCGAAATCACCAATTTTGTGAATGTCTAGAGATAGTCAAGTGGTGCAGTGATGGTACCAACAGTATCAGCAACTTCCTAGTGTGGTTTCCTGCTCTCTCGAGTAATTTCAGAGACGAACTCATGGGTGATTACCCGGATGATCAGCTCTACCATGTTGTTCCAGGAGTCATTTCAGGAGAGAGTCCAAAGCCTGTTTTTCTACTTACAGTTGTTCCTCAGTATGGGCAGGGATTGGTTCCAGGATCCCCAGGAATAACAAAATCTGCAGATGCTTACATAAAACGGCAAATGGCATAGCATTTGCCTATAGCCTATTCACATCCTCCTGTGTACTTAAAGCCTTCTATAGATTACTTATAAAACCTAATGCAAGCCAGGCATGGTAGTTCACACCTGTAATTCCAGCACTTTAGGAGGATGAGGCAGGTGGATCACTTGAGGTCAGGAGTTCGAGACCAGCTTGGCCAACATGATGAGATCCTGTCTCAACTACAATACAAAAATTAGCCAAGTGTGGTCGTGCACACCTGTAATCTCAGCTACTTGGGAGGCTGAGGCAGGATGGATCACTTGAACCTGGGAGGCAGAGGTTGCAGTGAGCCGAGATCATGCCTCTACACTGCAGCCTCTCAAAGAAAAAAAATGCAGTGTAAATACTATGTAAATAATTGTTATACTGTATTATTTTTATTAGTATTATTTTTCTTTTTGTATTATTTATCATTTTTTTCCCAAAATATTTTCAGACAGTGGTTGGTTCAATCTGCAGATGAAGAACCCATGCTATGAAGAGCCAACTGTATTTGTAAGCACCTAATCCTCTGCATTAAGTCCTTTTCTGTTTAAAATACCTAGAATAAACACTTTCTACACTCCACACCAACTCATAACATATGCCTGTAGGCTAGGCATCAAGAACATCTTAAATCTGGACCTGGTTCTATCATTCTTTTACCCTTTCTGCACTTCAAGAGATAATAATCCCTGTCCTAGTTATTTCTGAGAATCTTGTG